CCCCCCCCCCCGAATAGGTAGGGGATCTTCTCACTGTCCGTGGTGGGCTTGAAGCTAAGGCAGCCATCTACAAGGAAGGGCCGTGGTGGAGGGAGCTTGGCCTACAGGGCGAAATCCTGTCCACTCTACTGCCACCGAAGTTGTCACTCCCTGCGCCCGACACGGATTTGCCTTTGCTTCTTGGCGCGTGTGATTGCCGCTCTCTTACTGCATGCCAGAGGACTCCGCATGCATTGGGGCCCCAAAGCAATTGAGAGGGTTCGAAGCTGGCTGGAGTCTAGACTTGACTATATCGACTAAAACTGACTCTCGAACGGGTAGTTCTCCCTTCCCAGCTTATGCAATCTCTTTTGAAAGATGCCCCACCCCTCAGATTCCATGATCCATGATCTTTCGTTGACGTGCGATCGTCATGTGTGCTGGCATGATTCATGGTTCAGAACCAAGTCCATTGCTTCAAAATCATGCTCCACTCTCCCATTCTGGAGTTACGTGACGTTGACAGGTTTCTGGTACCTTGCGATCGGTTTGCCCCGCTCTCTCAGCATCTCTTCTCGGACGTCTTGCTCTTTTTTCTCAACTTATCTTGTCCTATGCGCTGTGATCCCTTCTGGCTACTTTGGAAGCCGCTTTCGGCTAGGTACACCTGTCCCCGTTAAATCTTATATCTTGTCATTGTCTCACTGGTGTGAGAACGTTATGGAAGGATCTCTTGCTGTGGCATGGAGAAATTAACTGCGAGTGCACACAGTGCGGGCTTGACGACATTGGGGCTGCGGATGACAACCTTGCGGGTAGAAGGAGCCAGAATCGAAAGCCAGCGTCAGTAACAGCCTTAGCTTTAGCAATGCTCGACCCCAGGTTTGTGCAGTGCATGGACCACTCGCCCTACTCCCGGCGAATTGGTGTCATCGTCTCCCGGCCTGTGACCTTCACAAGACTAGGCCCAGATCTGTTTAAGGGAAGCGGGCTGCGGACGCGATCACCGTGTCACCTAGGTGTGTTTTGTAGAGGGCCGGCAGAACTTCCACTTCTTGCAGATGAGCCAAAACGACCAGCAGGCCGCCAGTTGCTTGCCCTCGCAGATGTATCGTGAATTTGCTTGTGTGCATGCAGGCACGTCCGCAAAGCGTTTATATGTATAGCTTTATATACATATGTTATGTATGTGTAGGTATGTATATATTTTCATACAGTATATGTATATGTATATATATATATATGTATACAGAACCGGACATATTTTGATATATGTACACATGTACATATATGTATATGCAAAGGAGTCTATCGGTGCGATTGGCATAGCACTCTTGGCATTCATGCTGCTTCCATCTGTTCTTGCGGATTTTCCCGTATCCAACTTGTCCACTGTGTACTGGTCATTGCTTTCCGCTCTGTCTCCTCTCTTTCTCGTTTTCCATCGCGGCCTCCCAGCCGCTGCACCTGTGACCGTGTGTCTTGGCTGTACCTATTTCTATCTACTGATTCGTATTTGTTTGTCCACGCTTATCCGACTTGCAAGTCGTTCGGTTCCTGAAGGCGGGCAAAAAACCGTCAAAACCAGAGTGTAAGTCCACATAGGTTAGCAGAGAAACAGTGTAATCACCAGCGGAGACACCAATAGACGTGTTAGAAATAGAAGCATTTGCAAGTGCGAGCATACAGATAAAGGTAAAACACACAGTAGCTACCGGAGAGGCACAGCACCAGCAGCACCCACATAAGCTAAGCGTATGCAAGCCCTGCCTGGCGCATGTGCTCCACAGAACTGGTGGCCAGATGGAATGGAACGAACTCATTGAACCGACCTTAACTAGCACATAACTGCAACACGCTGACTCTCGGTGTGAGATGGTGTGAGCTTGCGTCAGTCCGAGCGTTTAAACTTAATGCAGATCCGGCATTGTGGGTACGGGGGAACGGTCGCGAAAAGTAGAAGCAAGCGATGCCTCTGTCAGGAGAGGTTCGTTGAGTTCCTGGCCATGAGCTTCAACAGCTCAAAGGCGAAGCAAAGTCAGCGGGGGGTGGCAGGCATGAGGCTCCTGAGCTGCCAGTACTGAAGTCGAGTCGATGTGGAAGAGGTTCAGAGCGAAGTCCTCTGAAAGGCGAAAACATTCAAGCCGAGCTTCGTGGCCCACAACTGGGCAGATGCTTGGACTTAGACGGAGGAAGCCTCAAAGTCCACTTTCTGATTGTGCAGGAGAAAGGTTCCAACTCGTAAGAAAGATCGGGTTCTAGGTGCCAGCGAGAGACAGTTTGTGTCTTCTTCCTGTCGCAGCACCTAGTCAGGATCAGCCGTTTGCACGAGGGGCGTACACTGGCTTCTTCTCGCCGGGTGTGATGTCCGTTCCAGAGCTCCGCGGCTGAGTGGATCCTCTCGTAGATGCTGCCGGGTCAGGTGGGGTGATTTGGTGTAGTCAAACACCGGAAAACGGTATCATTGTCTTCGCTCCCATGGCACCAGAGGGCGATCCGCGAGCCTTCGGGCTTTGAGGTTCTGGACGACGTTCCAGCAGATGGAGAAGCTCCCAAATGTCTTCTTGGCAGGCAGAGGGGTGCAGCTGTGATCAGATGTGGAGGGCGGACATGAATGCAAACGCAAGCAATTCAAGCCGTGATTCGCTCCTGACTGTTGGATGGGCTGTGAGAGCGATGCCACGAAGCAGCTGGGTTAGGCTCAGACTACCACATTGGCTTTGGCAACGGCTACATCGAGGTGCCCGGCTTTTGGCAAAGGTGCATCTATTGACAACAAAGCTGAATGACATCGAGTCGATTAAGGTATGGGCCTGATTTGTGTTGGGTCTCCCAATACTGCGAAGCTTGGAAAATTTGTTGAGGCCGCCAAATATGGTTTGGGGCAACAATGAATTGCCGGCCCATTGTATTGGTGGAAGCCGGTCTACAGAATTTTTCTCCGACCTTCCTTACGGGGTTGCGTTACTACTTTTACTATTACTATCACGATTATGCTTACTAGCTACTACTAAGACTAAGAGAAAAGCACTGTTGACTTTTTGGTTTGGGCGGACTCATCAGGCCACCACGTTACGATTCGAATTCTGGCTGTGCGATTCATAGATTTTTGCATACTTGCGCTGAGCGCCTGGCAAAGCTCCCCCCTCAAACTTCACACTCGCCGTACGCACTGATTACTTGCACTTCTTTCCAAAATCTGCTGCCCTTCTTCCAGGATACCGAAGTTTGGCTATATAGATCAACAACTCCTCTTTCAACCGAGCGGGTTGCAAGATGCCGTGTCTTTCGTGATCAGGAGCATTTCACAATCACGACGAAAATGCAGCAAAAGACTTCCGTTGGCAGGGCGCCCTCCGTGATGGAGAGAGTGCCGCGCGTCGAGTAGCCGACCGCCTCCAGCGCGTGATGCATGTGTGAGCACCGGGCCAAGTCACCCAAGGTCGTTCTGAGCCAAAGTGCTTAGATGGGTGCTTTGCAGCTACGGGACCGTTGGAAAATGAGACCCTGTTTAAGCGTTCTCTGGCATGGAAGCAGTCAAGTCGTTCTTGCTTGCTACAAGTAGTGTCCCCGTGCGAAATCGTGCTTTCATGGTATGCCAGCATGTGCACTTTTAGATGCATGCTGAGTGCCACTTAGATGAATTAAACCCCAGACTCACCAGAATCAGAGCGCGATATAGGGAGACACTTTTGCTCCAACATGGCAGCTGCAGGTTAAGTTTCGACTTTCGAGCAGTATTCCTCTAGTGCTGTCTAGTCATCCAGCCGACGAAGCATCAACATCCATAGTGAAAGAGTTGGACTGGTCGGAAATCAGATATCATTTCTGCGCAAAGTGTTTGTCACTATCCGTGGTTGCCATGGCATCGCTCACGGAGGTGGGGGCCCGAGGGTTTTTTGCACCATATTAAGTCCGCATCGGCACCGACAGGCGACATTTCCAAGCTGAAGCCCAAGAATACGTGCGTGCAAAGCATTGATTCCGTAACCTACATTGAGACCCTGCCCAGCTGAAGTGCGATCTTCGCTCGGCTATCGTGAACTGGTTAGGCCTTCACGTTCGCGGGGTCACCGCCTGCAGCGCCAGTCGCTAGGCAGGGTAGCTTTTCAAGTTTCCCAGCGTTCAATCTCCATAAAGCCCAGACACTGCAAGAGCTCTGAAACCAAACCGCTGGACAGCCAAGCATGGTCCCGATTCCAGCCCCTCTGTTGGCTACACTGTATCCACTACATTCATCTAAAGTGTCCTTGCCACTTGCACATTTGTTATGCTACTGCCGCAGGTCCGCCAGCACAGAGTTGACGGTCAATTTCGCCTTGTTCTGTAAGAAATGTGGCGATTCGAGAACATTCCAGGTAGGTGCCCCATGGCAACCTAAACGCCTTGGAGTATCATAGTGCTTGTATTCACAGTGTTCTGACAATCTAGAATCTACTATTTTGGAAGCGCGTGGCCGAGTACCCACATGTATCCCAAAGGGTCCAAGTAGTAATATGGTAGCTACTTTGTAGGTATTTGGGCCCCCAAAGTATATACCATACTATAACTTGGACCCTTTGGGTATGTCTGTGTGCAAAACCTGGAGACCCGGCTTGCGCCGCGACCGGGCAGCGTATGAGGCTCCAGATCGAGGTGCGCTGGGATCCTCATGACTTTGAGTCGGAAGGGGTCAATGCAGGAGGTTTGGAAATGATAAGCATTTTGGGCCGGCCGCGATGCATGTTTGCATGCTGCTGCTTTCACATCCAGACACAGGTCTGTCCTCGACACTCGCAGCGGGTGCCACGATCTTGGCTGCGGGTGCAGCATCGAGGCACCGCCCTGCGTCGGGAAGTGCCTCACCGTGGCCTCTAGTCGCTGTAGTCATTAAGTTGATAACCTTCAGTTTGGAAACGCTCATGACGACGGGAAGCCCTTGGTCGGGCTGCTGGCATTTCCGTGTTGTGCTGTTTTCGTATTGAATTACACATATGGAACCACGACGCCTCAGTGAAGGTTGGAAACAAAGTGTTTGGGATGCGCCGCCGGTTCGCCAAAAGAAGCTGCGTTCGTGATGGCGCAAAACTAAGCTGTGAGAATGTTGTCTGGCATGCATCCATGATCGGGTCGTGTGATTACATTTTACAAGCGCTTGCAGCGCCGCATTTAAGTATTTAGTCTTGGGGTTGGGCTGCATTTTTGCTCTATACCAGCAGGTTCAGTCGATAGCTTGCATCTTGTCTGACCTCATGCACAACTTGTGCACAACCTGTTCCCACCATGGTCTGAGAAAGGGCTTGTTGGCCACGGCACCCATGAATTTACCCACCGGGGCCCACCATCCTCGTTGTGAATGCACATGAGCTGTGTTTCGTAAGATCTCCAGTTCAGATCTTGGCCTACCTTGTCAGGAAACCTGCTCAAACGCGTGGAGCAGGCATCGCCTCGTTGGCCGGGGCACCAAGGTGGTCTTGCACCTGCATGAGCAATCACGAAAATATGAATTTAGATAGTTGATCTTGGCAACTCGAGGAACACCGGTTGCTACTTTGATCCCTTCTTCCCTCGGATGTCCAGCTCGGAATTCCAGTCCAGAGGTTGTTGTAGTTCAAGCTCGCTAGTATCCGGCGCACATTTAAGTAGCCCAGGCAGATGTACCTTGCACAGATGGCTTTATCGACTTAGCACGAGGCTTAAGCATACTGATTCGACGATCGCGAGGATTGCAGTCCAGTCTTAGAGCGATATGGTGCACTCTCCTCCTTGGAGAGGTGCACTGCCGCCCTTCTCAGAAATGTTGGCCTCGTGTGTTGCTGCTTGAGGAAAGGAAGAAATCATCTTCACGCAAGAGTTCCTTAACATCAAAGGCGACTGCCTTGCAGGCCCTGCACAGAATCTACGCACACATCTTTGGGATTGTCTAATCTGGTCATCCGTGATCCTGTCATGTTGATGGCTGTAGCCGTGGGCAAAATGGGTTGGCTCTGACCATCGCAGGAGACACCGGCAACGGTCCAGACAGATGGTTCCGGCGTGCGGGAGAGGCTTTCGGACTCCATCCGGCGGGTGGTTTCAGTTGAGCTACGGCTTTTGCTCGCGCGTCTTTCGTAGGGAGAAGGTCTTGCAATTTGTTTCGCGTTGGCCGGAAAACCTTGCACGTGACTGTATGCACAGAAGCACGCGGAAGGTACACGAAAGCTCAACTTAAAGATAAGTCATGCCTAGATTCTCTTGGATATCCCAGAATCCATTCAGGGACTGGCAAGGGGAGGAGTGCAGGCTGCAGAGAGGTGGCCCATCGCGTCAAGTCCTAAAGCCCTCGTGCGAGCGTCCGAGTCGAAACCCCAAAGAGTAGCAAGTCTTGCCCAAATCGCAAAGGCACAACGGTAAACCCTGCATAACAGAAACCTTGAGAAGATTGCGGGTGCTGACCGAAGTCAGGTCAGCAGAAGCCCTGCACATGGATCCAGGGAGCCAACTTTCAAAGCCCAGAGTGACAATCCCCAACCCTAAGTCCCCATTCGCCGGGAATATGTGCCGACATTATGTTACATTGGTGTATGTGATCGTAGACCCATGCGACTGTACGTTTCCGTTTATGGCTGTATTTACGGTTTTCGTTGCATACAGTTTCATAGTTGGGCCCAGCTATTGCTTTCAAGGCTGGGAGACACCGGCAAGCTGCAATGCATATATTGATTAATCTATTTCCTGACGTTTTCATATACTCGTTCATGAGCATTTGCAGGCTTTGCACTAGTATGCGCAGAGCAGGAACATCATCATCATCATCTCCATAATTCTCCGAGATGATAGGGGATGTGCGCGGAAGCTCTGTGGAAGCCTCTTCTGGAAGTTGATCCCAAGCCCAGCCGTACTCAGTTGCAGTAAGCGTGATGGGCTTTTAAAGGCAGCATTCCAGAGGCGATTAACCGATGCGTTGGACTCATTACCGACATTCCTCGCCATTGTGAAGCTGAGACGTGTCGTTTAGTTTCACGCCGTCAACCTTGGGTGCAGTCCTAAGCGAAGTCTGCCCAAACCCTCCAGACTTGAGCACGACCTGCGGAAGCAAATCCCACGAACTCATGGAAAAGGCACAGCGGAAGCGTCATTCAAGTTGATGCCCGCGGAAAGCTAAAGCCTCTCCTGCGGAAGGATCCGCCAAAGATCTCCTTATTGTGCCCCACGCAAACAGCAAAAAACACGGCTCAGCATGCTGTGGCAGCTAGTGTGCACACCTTGTCCTTGTGGCTGCATATTGACACTGTTGCAATGCTACAACACCAGCAAGCAAGCCTGGAAGGCGCGGGGTGCTGGCGAATGGCATGAGATACGTGATTCTCCGACATCAAGTTCCAGCTGGACGGGTCGAGGCCAGGCTTCCTCGCTGAAGGCGTTCACCTGGGTGAAAGCATCCTCAAATCTCAAGAGGTAAAGTTAGTGAAGTTAACTCAGCTGAGCTGAGCCATCCATTGAGTCGTGGAGCGATCCTGTCGCTCTTTGTCGCTGCGCATAAGTATCATCCGAGTGCACTGTGACCATCAGGCACACTTGGAGTTTCACGTGGGGTCCATCGATGAACAAGAGGCGCTGGTGCTCGACTGCTTTAGGTCACGGGCCCAGGTCCGCATTGCTAGTAGTTCGGCCCCAATCACTGGGACACGTGCTTCCGGTTCGGCTTCGCTGTGCACACGATGTGTACCTCCTGCACACCACGCCTTGCCGCAGAATCAGCGTGGGATGGCCCACATGCTCGAACATGTCGGCAGCTCAGAGCATGCTGCTGCTAACAGTCAACGGCGTGCACAGCGAAGCTTGGCGAAGATACAGGTCCACATGGATGTGTTGGCATGGAAACATGTCTGCATGTGCGTGTTTGTCCGTCTGTCTGTTTGTCTGTCTGTCTGTCTGTCTGGCTGCAAGCATGTGCACATATTTATGTTATGTCCACGTTTGCTGCCATAAGTGTGTATCGACTGGTTCCGCCCCCACCCCTTCTGGGTTCTCTTTTGGCGTCACTTGTTGGTTTTTTGCTCGAAAGCTTCTTCGGGGTCCCTGTGCGGTTTGTTTTTTGGGTCCCTTTTTCGGCTTCGTTTGGGCTGGTCCGGGGACCAACTGCACAGCCGGAAGATTTTGGACGGGACCAAACCCACAGCTGGAAGGTGGTCATTTTACATTACTGGTATATTGCTAGTATGATAATGTTATAATAATACATAATATGATACTGCCGGATCAACAGTTCTAAGGCTTTCACTGCACCGGCACGTGCAGAAAAACAGACGGGCACGTGCACGTACATACACATGCATGCATGCCTCCATGTGTCCGTGCGTCCTTCCTTCCATCCACCAGCCCACCCACATAGGTGTATCACTCGTGAGTGTGTACATTCACAACTGCACACCTACACATATTGAATGTACACACTTACATACTGCATATACACATATACATACGTACACACTTACGGATGTACGCGCATACATACATACCTACTTAGTGACATGCATGCATGTATTTTGTATACACACACATAAACATGTATATATATATATATATATACACAGATTTCTACACATGAACTTATATATATATACACACACACACATATATACATATATATATATATATATAAATACACACCGACAGTTGCGGCTCACATTTCTAGAGACACTCCTATCGTTCGGTCTCTTTCTCTCTCTCTCTAGCTTCTTATTTTCGGATTGCATACGCATTGCGAAGGCTGGACCAGGAGAATTGCTGCAGCTGTTCATTCTTCCCCATTGGCTAGACCTCGATCATTGATTCCATACAAAAGCCTGGCCTGCTGGTTCGTGCCCACAGCCAATTGTAGGCGGAGCTAGACTGTAGCTTGAAACCCATGCAGCCAATGTATTGTGAGTGTACCACACGCATCGATCCAAATAATGTGCCAGCCTTTGCGTCCTTGTGAAGCACTGGCATGGCGAGCTCGCTCGAGCTACCAGATATCTTCCGTGACTACCTGGCGAGCTGTCCGTTCACGGCCGATGAATACAAAGCCATCTTAGAAGTGCCTGAGGAGAGGTATGTCCGAATCAGGGATTCGTCTTTGGACCCGACCTGCATAGCGGAGAACCTGAGCTGCTCCACAGAAGAAGTTTTGGAAGTCCAGTGGCTAAAGGAATTTGCCGAAGCTCACTCGAAGCTCCGGCTTTTTCGTGTGCCAGAGACGGCCAACGTCCGAAAGAGCGCCCTTTACGAGCGCGGCGCCGTGTTTGGAATGGATGCTTCAAGCTTAGCGGCAGTTTGGGCTTTAGAACCAAAGCCGGGAGATCACGTCTTGGAGATCTGTTGTGCCCCTGGAACGAAATTGTGCTGCATAGCTGACATTTGCTCCGTGACGGGTGTCGACTGTTCCCATCAAAGGCTTACAGTCGCTAGAAGTCAGGTGAAGCGATGCCAAGTGCATGAGTCAGTGAAGGGTTTGTGGCTTGCGGATGGGCAGACATGGAACGGTGACGGAGACGAGATCTTGTCCGAGGGCCTTACGCGTGGTGACAGAAAGCAGACTAGGAGAAAAAGGCAGAAAACAGCAGGAGGTAGTCCGCCAGATCTTTATGATCGCGTCATTGTTGATGCAGAGTGTGCCCATGATGGGTCCTTGAAACATATACGGAAATTCTTCGACAATCGTGGGCGTGTCTCCAATCTTCAAGCCCTGGAGGAACACATGCCATGGCTCAGCGCGCAGAAGCGGCGGGAGTTAGCTGAGCTGCAGTACAACCTACTCAAGCGAGGTTTTGAACTTCTGAAGGAGGACGGGGTACTAGTCTACTCCACCTGCAGCTTTTCCGAGGCACAGAACGAAGAGGTGGTCCGTCGCTTTATAGAGTTGGAGCCACATGCAACAGCTGATGAACTCCCGTGGAAAATGCCATCAACGCAGGACTCTGACGACAGAGTTTCGTCCGTAGACACTGGCCGTCAAAGCCGTCACAATGGGAATACCGCAGGCAATTCTAGGCCAATGGCCTCGGAGGCTGGCCAGGCACAGGGATCCGAAGCCTTGGGCAACACATTGTCGCATCATGCGCGCTGCATCATACAGTGTAGGACTGTCCCATGTATACCTGCTTTCAAACTGTCCGGCGCGTGCAGGTTTGATCCACGCTCCAGTGCCACGGGTGCCATGTTCATAGCCAGACTTCGCAAATCATCGGGGCCTCCGAGCCAAGAGGGCGAAAAGGACCTGCGAGTGAGACAAAGGGGTTTTTGAGGCCCTGGACAATCGGCACAGCGAGGCCGGTGTCCCCGTTATTGCTGCCAGCAGACTGCCAACAACAATTGCTCATCCAAGGTGTGTTTCCTGGGCTCCGAGCGCCGCATGCAGCTGCAGAGCGGTGGTCTGGGCTGCCTAAGTTGCATTCAGACCGCGTAAAACAAAGAGAGGTCATCGTTGAACTGCGGGCCCTTGAAAGGGTGACATGCAGAAAAGCACCATGCCCCAGGCATGACCAGCAACGCGTGCACCGACTTCAATCACACGGTGCGGCCCTTGAGGTTTCTTTGCATGGAATGGCTCTCATCCATAGAACCCCAGGTCTACCACCTGAGCCTTGGCACTGAGTACCTGAGCCAGGGACTGGAGGCAGGACAGGACAAGGTGCATGCAGCGAGGTGAGGGCCGAAGCCTGAAGTCTGTCACCAACAAGACTGACACTTAGGATGCCTCTTCTGTTGGTTCAGTAGGAGGCCTCCGGAAGTTTCGAGAGGGAGAACATGCAGCCGTTTCGGCGAGAACGCGTGCTTGCATGTTCATATCTTTCACCATGCCTTTTGCGAAGCGTTTTGCAAGACGATATTCGGGCCCGGCTGACACCCAGATCTTGCAGATAGCATGGTCGATGCGAATGCCTCTCGGGCACAAGAATTCATGACCTGAGCTCTGAAGGCACTCGCAGATATCGGTCCGCCCCTCATCAGTTTGTGCGGACTTGTCCAGTGATTCGTGCACAGGATATAAGTGACATAGGCAGAGGCAGATGTGTCACAGTTGTGCACGGCAAAGGTTTCAATCCTGCCTTCCGCCCGGAGCGCGTCGAAAAGGAGCACCAAATCAATCAGTCCGATCTTTCCTTGGAGCGTCACTTACTCGAAAGTGGCGGCCATCCCATCCTATATACCTGAACAGCTTTGGCCGGCCCATGGCACACTCCCGGATGGGCACCTGATGTCCTCATGCAACAAACACACCCAACCACAGACCCAGGGAGATTCAGGAGCATGTCCATGTACGCTGCGTTTGCGAAGGAGCGCGCAGCCGTTCTTTCCGAAGCTCAAATGGTCAATGACGTGCAGTATCGCCTGCCTGGGAGCCAAGCAATTTCTGATTGCACGGATTCTCATGATACCACGACGGTGTGCAGCATGTTTGCGTATAGAACTTAGAACAAAAGTTGCATTCGGTAATACATAGGGTCAGCAACCCGCACAGGTATAAGTGTTCAGATTTGTATGCTGCCGACGATGAAAAAGTCACCGCACCTACAAGTTCTTCTCAAGACCTACACAAGTGAACAAGTGCGTGCGTGCATGCCGTGCGCACAACCTTTCGGACATAGCTGCGTCCCGTCTCGAGCAACACGATGCTATACTTCTCGTCTTCCTGATGCCTCTATCACCCCCACAGACGCCAAGCAAAAGCGTGCTGGCTTCAGTAGCTGGCTACAGCTTGGGGGGATGTGGGCTGATGTGCGGATCAGGACCTGCATGCTGAGCACCAGAGGTTACAAATATGCAGAGTGGACAAAGTCGCAGCTCAGCCTGAAACCTCGACGACAAGCAGCTGGAGGCCAGCAACCAGCTATAGCTCGGGATGCACCTTTGAGGGGCCAGGAGAAAGACTTCTAGTCGTCGGCACCGGCAACTACACGCAAGCTCCAGGACGTAACGGATCCAAATAGAGTCCAAGGAGAGGAGTCAGATGCCGTGCACGGAGATCGCCGGACGAGACATTTTGGAGGGCTCGCAAACACGGCCAGAAAGCACAGGCGGGGATCGCCAGAAATCCCGCAGCCGTGTGAGCAAGAGCTGCAGGAAGAGCTTTGTCGGGCCAGTGCCAACACTACAGTCAAACGGCAGCGCAGGTAAGCCACTGCCACTGGCCCTCAGCACATTCGTTATCATAGCCATGCCAGAGATAAAGTTGAAGCAGCGGCAACCGTGGCATGGAGGGGCACTGAATCTGCTGCGTTTGCAGTGAGTCGCTGTTCAGACATCCGGATTCCGGACAGGTCGCGGGCTTCAAATGAAAGGGGAGGCTGCATTAACAATCACTGTCACACATGTGGGCTTGTCGCGGCGGTTCATAAGTGTAAGTTGTAACCAGGCTCCGCATGTACTTGCAATGCCTGCTTCGCGTGCTCAGCCATAAACGCTGGCATATGGAACCTGGCTGAAGGGATTCAGGGCTGAGTGCATTACAGTCCCTGCCCCAAAAAATGCAATGCCTTTTACCTGTTGCCTACATGTCTTGTAGAATCCGCTGCTGCATCTCTTACATATGCTGCATGCTGGATTGTGCAACAGTAAGCTGGCTTTGGCTTGGTCTCAGTGCCCCGTCACACCAGACACCTTGAGGCAGACGCAGTTCCTGACAGCAATGCACAAGGACAACCCGATCCACGTGAGATTCCCCATCGGCAGGGACCCCACCAAGTCGCTAACTGCTGTGTGCTTTGGTGCATGTCAGTCACATGCCTTGTGAAAAGCCGTCAGCCGAAGGCTTGGAACACCAGATCGCCAACTGGACCGTAGAAGACCTGCAGTCCTTTCACATTCGGTGCTCGTCTTAGCATCGAAGCGTTTACAAAAGGGCAGGCTCTTTTTTACCTGTCTGCTGTGCAGAGCAGCGAGTTGATGCCTCTGCGACTTGTTTCTTCAGGTGGTATGTGCCAGAGAACGCCACCCTGTTTATCGTCGGTGATGTGGATGAAGATATTGCAGTGGAGAAGGTGGCAAGTAGACCCAACAGGGCATGTTCCAGAAAGGGGGGCTAGACCGCACAAGGAAGGGATCCTTGATCCTTTCCAAGATGACTTGTCAAAGCGGAGCCTTTGAGTTTCGGCAACCCCAAGGTCGAATAGAATCGAATATGATATTCATGATTAATGCAGAGCAGCAGGCAAAAAACAATCATAATTCGGAGGTCATGTTTCGATTTCCCACGTGATGGCACCCGGAAGTTGCTTCCGCCTCCTTGGAAGCCCGCAGGTTGAGCAGACCTTCAACAGCATCTCCAGCGTCACAGCCTTGATCAGAAGAAACAGGAATGTCCACACGCCTGCAACCGTGGATCCAAGTCTGCTTGAACGGAATAGAGATGCACGTGCTCAAACCGACTTGAGGCAGGGTTGGCCACCGGTCAGCCTTGGGACTTGGACGCCACCTCCCTTCTGAGGTTCGGAACCCGCGAGTCGAATTGAGGATTTTTCAGGAGCAGCTTGGGAAAGGGGAAAGCACGCCGTTCCGAAACCGAAAGTTGCGAGCAGCATGAACTCTTCGATCCTAGGCCGGCGATCGAAGGTCGGCCCAGGGTGCTGCATAGCCTCGTGGCTGCAAGAACCGCTTTCGGAAATCGCGATCAGTTACTGCCGTACACGTGGCAAGCGAGTGCACTATCTTTCGGAGTTTGCGGCTGCACTTGCATGTGTAGATTTCGCGTAGGGCGACGCTTAAGGCCAGGCCTGAAGGATGAGCAGCCGAAAGCAGCACCGCAGACCGGCGTTGTGCACAGAGGATACTGGACACCAGCGAGAAAAACATGGCAGGAACACATGAAACAAGGCTTGTACCCGGAGACGTTCCTCCAGAAGCCGATAACATGTGCACGAACCCTCTGCTTGGCTGCTAGCTGCTAGCAGTCATTTCAGAATCGTTGTTTGCCAAGGTTTCGTGGAGCCAATCGATGGCCCAGAAGAAGGCGACGGATACTGTCGCCACAACATAAAGACGGGCTTATCTTGCAAGTAGAATACTGACGCCTGCGTGCTTTAAATGGCCCGCACGCAGGCCAGAACATACTACATGCTTCTCCGTGAGAACCTTGAAAAACAATGAATACAAGAGTTTAAAAACATTAACTCTGTAGTTAGTTGTTTAGGGTTCTGGGGTTGAACAACCCCCCATCCTGACAATTAACTCTAGATTTAATTGTTCTCAACAGATGTAGCGCCGGAGCAATTAACTCTGAAGTTAAT